GAGAGAGAGAGAGAGAGAGAGAGAGAGAGAGAGAGAGAAAGAGAGCTTTATTCCAATTTGATATACTAAGTTCCCACTAACATAAAAGTTTGTCAATGAAAAAGCCAAGTGTTGGTACACCTAAGGAAATGCATAGAGAATACCTTCTGTCCAAAATGAACGAATCTCCCTGCACTTGTCACACGCGGCAGTGCACAAATTTAAGCATCCCGTGTTGGAGATTTTATCTGTTGGCCGTACAGGAATGATAGCAGACTAATCTTAATGTGTGCTCGCATACCCTACTGTCCGATAAGCTTATAGAGGGTGACGAAATTCGATCCAAGCGCTCTAGGCGGAACCCTGTAGCATCTAAGCAGTGTGTGTGCTCGGAACACTACAATCTTCAAGCCAAAGCCATCGGTGGGAAAGTATTTATTGTACATTGAGCTCCCAGTTGCTGTCCTTGGTAGCAGTGGCAACTTGTGAAATCAGGGCTAGTGTTGACTGCGGCCACTCCTGTCTGAAAGAGGGTGAGACAGTGGGTGTAGAAGCCTTTATATTATTGTGGAGCAAGTTCAAGTGTTGTCCAATCGGTGTGTTGCATTACCAGAGGGGGCACCGTGTAAAGTGACCTAAGCCGCGTCCGCCGAGAGTTGGTGTGTTCAAGTGGCCCTTGAGCAGCCGCGATTATCGGGACTCGCGTGCATATGCGAGTGGGAGTTGGTCAAGTGCCTGTAAGTCAGTGAGTCGGAAACTGCTCACTGCCAAGTCGCATGACCTTGAGACAGTGGAGACTGAACAAGGACGCCAGACAGTAATGTTGACTGTCGGTCACCTCGAAGGTGTAACCAACTAACTAGATAACCGCTGCCTCATCTAATGTCACTAAGAAGAAAAACATGTTGTGCTGGAGCACAGTGTTGTGTTTACCATTTTTCCGAGAAAATCGTCGCAGACGCAACAGCTGTTGGTTTCAGTTAGAACCTGCGCTGAGAGTAGGGGAATGCCCGTCAATGTAAATGCACACACCGCCAGATTGCGAGTATTAGGCAGTCGGTCAGGTGAAGCTGACTGCAATATTCAAACAGACTTTTGGATTGAAACTGTGACGAGTTACTCAGAGTACTTGATTCGAAGTTCGTAACTTTATTTCTCGTGAAAGTTGGAAGTTAGAACATGAGTGGGAGAATTGAGAGCCAGTATACCATAAGTCGTATGGAGAGCTCTGGTGTCCAATATGGGCTAAACGCTAACTCGGGAATGGAGCTAGAAGTTGCGCTCGGTGTCTGTCAGTAAAGCTCCGTGTATACCTCTGACTGAAAATCATTCCCCGATTGTAAGTACTTTAAAACTAATCTACCGATGGTGATTAAGTTCAGCTTAATAGTCACATAGCGTTTAAAAGGGACTATGGGAGAATCTAGTACGGCGGCCATCCCTGGCGACCCCATAATCCCTCTTGACGCAGTTCAACAAACTGAAATCGAAAGCGTTGTCCCACATGCCCGGAACTGAATTAAGGACTGAAGAATAACGCCTAGGTGAGTTCTCTGAAAGCGTGTATTGTGTCAACACACCGTAGACGTGTACACAGGCCTTGGTTTATTATCCGTGCTAAGACGACAGCACTCCATTCTTCCTATCCTACTAACCACCCAATTGCTTGCTTGTTAATATCAAATTCTTACTCCAGCCAAACGGATAGAACTCGGCTAACATATGATTACAAACGGATCTCGAGTTGGATTATTCTGTGGACCTATCTATCAGTTCACACATTATTTTCTAAAGAAAGTTAAAAATTAGGAATAACAAAGTATGGTGATTGTATTTTTATCGACGCCGGCGTAACACTGATCGCAGTAGAAGTGTTCGAACACTTATTCCAGGAGGGCTCTTAGGAATATGATTACAGGCGAGACCTAATAACCGCACAGACCGCTCGTATGAAGTTGCCTCTTCGAACGTTTCAGCATTTCGGTGGAACCTGAACGCAAAGCAGCGATGGTACGCGAACTTATTTAATGACGGCTCATGAGCGCCAAGCCGTAGTCGAGCTCTGTAAAACCCTATAGTATAGTCGGTGCCAGACTTAAGCCGTCCGCACCCACCAGCGAAGGCTTAGTCACCTTCTATATAAGTCACAGTTCATCACCCGTGGACGCGTCGAATGGCTAGCTGGCACAAGCTACTTTGGTTTTGGAACTTACCACGAACTAAAAAAACATTGACTCGAGACATATCAAATGAAAGTAAAAACATTATTACAAGCAGGTCATTCAGTCAAAAGTGAACCAAAGGAGGTGTAAACGCCGTAAAAGTTGCCAAAAATAATCTAGAAATGCAAAACAGGAAGAACAGTGTCCGATGTTAGGGCGAGATGTCCCCGGAAGCAATGTCATCAGTGTTCCGATGGTCCTCTGTATCGTCAACGTCGGGGACACACTGAAAAAGACGGATGAGAAAGAAATTAGACCTTTCTGAAGACAAAAAGATAAAGAACCGTGCTTTTGGCGTTACGCTTGCTAAGGGGGTATAAATGGCCTGAACAGTCAAATACAGTCAGTGACCGATTTCATGAAGTGCTAACCTAAATTTTGAGATGCATTTACGATGAGGAAGGATTACTTTATGCAAGGTTGTAATATTAATTATCGTGCAACACAACACCATGAGATTTGCTTTACGTCAGGATGCCGGCTTCTGGCTGCAATTCTTACCATCGGCTTACAGGAACCACACTCGACAGAAAATGACTTCTTCTGAAGCATACATTTTTTCTATTCATTTTAGCTGCCCTTATAAATTAAAATATATCACATACCTAAAACGCTCGGAAAGTCCTTTCTTGTACTCACCTTGTGGTCTATCATGTCTTATTTAAGTTTGATACCTATAGGGAGGAGAACTTTCGGCTCTATAAGTTTTCCAATTTCCGAATAATTTTTGGCCCAATCTGTTGTTTAGGGTTTTCAGTCTACAAGCTACATGCTTTTCGTGTAAGCGCTAGCATGCGCTCCCCTTATGGCATATAGCGCTCCATAGAATTCTGCAAGGTAGGCGGTTAATGTTATATAACTCATGAGGGGCATTACTGAACGAACAGATACAATGAGATGTGAATGGGCATTGCGTGGTCTTAAAAATCTCAGGATAAAACCAGGTAAAGGACAGATGTGCCCCGAGTTTATTTGTCGACTTTTAAACTTCTAAAAAAACGAGGATATCGGAGGGCTAACCAGGACATGTATAGATTAAGAAATACTTAAGACCTTGGAGTCAGAAAAAAATCGATTACTTACAATGAGATGGGTGAGAGATGAGCGAGAATGCGGTTGCTGCTGCGGTAAGCCCGCTTCGGTCATCTCGACTTCGGTCTTGTCATCGGTCAAAGCGGTTAGGGTAAGAGTGGGGAAGATCGTGGCGTGTCTACTTTCACTATATCTGAATACAGTCACCTGTATTCGGGCAAACGGTGGACATCTTTGTTTGCGATGGTCGAACTAACACCATTCGACTATCACTTAAAACCC